AGCAATAAGAACGAAAAAGGGAGAAAGAGAGAGAGAGAGAGAGAGAGAGAGAGAGAGAGAGAGAGCGAGGGGATCGAGAAAAAGAAGGGCGATCGTGCGTGGAGAAGGATCGCCGGTCCGGAGAAAATGGCCTCGCGCTTTGCGCGGCGCGGTTCGATGAATATCCCGCTGAACGCTACGTTTTTCGCATTCCTCGTCGTTCTCGGATGTTACGCTAACGCGGGCAAGGCACTCTACGCGAACCCACCTCCGTGTCAGAGGTAAGTACACAGAGAATCTACGACGTTTACCAGTAAAACCAAAGGTCGCCGAGGTAGCAGCCGTGTCGCGTCGAAGCGCGATCTCGTTTTCCACCTTTCTCTCCTCTTCTCGTCTCGTCGCGTTTCGCGTCTCGCGTCTCCTTCCGTTCCGTGTTTTCCACCACGCGCGCGCGCCGTCTTCCATCGTGATCTGCCGATTCGCGATTTATCTTTCTTTTTCGCGAATCAAACTGTTCGCCCGAATGCGAGCGCGCGCGAGAGTCTCTGCACACACCCACCCACGCACACAATCTCCGCTGTGTGACCGGGGCGCGTTGCGCAATCGCGTGACTCGCGAAACCCGAGCATTAAAACGCAGAATTTTTGCGCTCGTCGTCGTCCGTTACCTTCGTTCCTCACCTGCCTCTTCATCATCGTCGTTTTCGTCATCGCCGCGCGGCGCAAACGCGCGAGCGGCTGAGCTCGCTATCCGCTCAGCGGACAAGACGCGATCGGCTGATCGATCGTACTCGCGACCGCGAGTCGCGTGACTGTCTCGACGAAATTAGTTCGCGATTCTTTCGGAAGCCTCGAGCACGCGGACGAGGAGGAATGTTCGCAACCGGAAATAGATCTTCGATCGTCTGCCAGTGATTTTTATCGGCGAGCACGCGACCCTTGCTGATTCATCGTGGCACGCGCAGAGAAGAGGAGCGAATGCCAACGAGATGCGTTCGCGCGTTCCGCAGCTTCCTCGGCGAATCGCGGAATCGTCGAATTACGAGATCGCGACCGAGCTCTCTCGCGGTCTCGGCGAAATGGCCTTAGCAATGAACTTGGCGTAACGGCGCGTGCCTCGAGCGGTGACAAGCTTTTAAATTAACGTGTTCCGCAAGTACAATGAACGTGACCTTAACGCGGAGAGCACGTCGAACGACGCGCGAGTATCGTATTCGCGAATCCCGACTAAGTCGCGTTCTCGTCCCGTCTCGTCTTTCCTCACCATCGTCAGGCGCGATGGATGGATAACGTCTGCCGGAAAATCGCTTGGATCATTTTTCCTCTTATCCGCGTTTCCCGCGAGGTCACGATACGAAACGCGGTATCCGATGCTTCCTTTTCTCTCTGCCGTTCTCTTTTCTTCATCGTCCGATTTTCTTCTTCGCGATTCAAGATCCAGTGGATAGAGATATCGTGCTAGTTGGCGCGTTGAAACGTTCATTCGCGCAGCTATCGGGTCCGGAGACACCGCCGCGTTCCTTCCGAGATAACGAACGGTCGAGGGAGAGGGTTGGCGTAAATCGTCTTATCGCGAGAATTGCTCGCGACGTTTCGACGAAATTCCGTGAACGGGAAGGAGATGAAAGACGGGAGATCTCGCGGTAATCTGTTCTTTTGGCGAAACGAGACGGGGATCGGGAAAAAAGGGAGGCGGAAGATGATCGAAGTATATAGGCGCGAGAGATAGATAGCAAGCCGCGTTTCGAATACGCGATCGGCTGTCGTTCGACGATTCTACCCGAACGAATTTCCACGACGAAACGCAAAACCGTACGCGTGTGTTCGTGTGTGTGTGGCTTGCAGCGACATTTACTGCCACGGCGAGCTGTTGCACACGATACAGATGGCCTCGATCTACAAGGACTCGAAAACGTTCGTCGACATGAAGATGAAACACCCGCCGAACGAAACGTTGCAGCTGTTTCGCGAATTCATGGAACGATTCGATCAAATGCCGACCAGGCAACAGATCGAGCAATTCGTCAACGACACGTTCGATCCCGAAGGATCCGAGTTCGAGGATTGGGATCCGGCCGACTGGACCACTCGGCCGAAGTTTCTCGACAAAATCCTCGACCAGGAGCTTCGCAAGTTCGGCTCCGACTTGAATCACATCTGGAAGATGCTGGGTCGAAAGATGAAGGACGACGTCCGGATCAACGAGGATCTCTATTCGATCATCTACGTGCCGAACCCGGTTATCGTTCCCGGCGGTCGATTCCGAGAGTTTTACTACTGGGACTCGTACTGGATCATAAAGGGGTTGCTGCTCTCGGAGATGTACAACACCGTCAAAGGGATGCTGTCCAACTTCGTCTCGGTGGTAGACAAGATCGGTTTCATCCCGAACGGCGGCAGAATATACTACGCCATGAGAACTCAGCCACCCATGTTGATCCCAATGGTCGAGGAGTATCTGAAATCGACGCACGATTACGGATGGCTCGAAGAGAACCTTCACCTTCTCGAGAAGGAGTTCGAATTTTGGATGACCAATCGAACGGTCGAGGTCGAGGTGGACGGAATCAAGTACACTCTGGCCAGATACCACGAGCATTCTTCCGGTCCGCGACCAGAATCCTACAAGTAAGTTGCGGCTCCTTTTATCTCCCCCCCCCCTCATCGTCGTCTTCCATTCCCGAGTATACCTTCTAACCGTTACATTTCTATCGATCAGAGAGGATTATCTGACCAGCCAAAGTTTTCGTACCAACGAAGAAAAGGACAACTATTACTCGGAGCTAAAGTCCGCCGCTGAGTCCGGCTGGGATTTTTCTAGTCGATGGTTCATACTAGACGGCACGAACAAAGGTAAATGCGCCACGCGCCTGCGTGCGACCTTGCTCTTTCGGCTCGCCTTTCGCGGTTTTCGCGAAATTCGAACAAAGTTCGCGGATCGAAAATAAAACGCGGTTCGAATTAGGCACGCGATGACGCACGGTTTCTCTCCGCGTGTCTCCCGTAAGTATTACTACACTCCGTCGCGACGAGGACGTCGACCAGACGCGCGATGATCGATCATCGGAAAAGGCGATTCGTCCGGCGCTCTTTTTCTCGAAATTATTCTCGGAACCAAAGTAACGCGGATCGATGCGCTACTGAGAACCATTCTTATCTGATGGCTATCTCGTATCGTGAACGATCTCGTCGATTTCCGGGTTTGTACGCGATAAAAGAAACGATAATATATAGGGATACGCGCGCGCACACGAACACACACACTGTACATAGTTCTTCTTTAGGTAACCTGACGAACTTGAAAACGAGATACATTATCCCCGTGGATTTGAACTCGATAATATATCGAAATGCGCAGCTGTTGGCGCAGTACAATCAGAGGATGGGCAACGAAACCAAGGTGGCGTACTACCGGAAACGAGCGGCAGAATGGAAGAGAGCGGTCACGGCCGTGCTGTGGCACGACGAAGTCGGTGCATGGCTCGACTACGACATACTGAACGACATCAAGAGAGATTACTTCTATCCGACCAACATTCTACCACTCTGGACCAATTGCTACGACATCGCCAAGAGAGAGGAGTACGTGTCGAAAGTTCTCAAGTATCTCGAGAAAAACCAGATCATGCTGAACTTGGGTGGCATACCGACCACCCTCGAGCACTCTGGTGAACAGTGGGATTATCCAAATGCCTGGCCCCCTTTGCAATACTTTGTGATCATGTCGTTGAACAACACGGAGGACCCGTGGGCGCAGAGGCTCGCCTACGAGATCAGCCAGCGATGGGTTCGCAGCAACTACAAGGCGTTTAACGAGACGCACAGCATGTTCGAGAAGGTAAACGAGGAAACTCGCGCGTAATTCGTGGATGAACGCGATCACGGTCGCAGAGAGCCGTGTCGGTAGTTAGTCGTAGCTAGCCGTAGCTAGCCGTAGCTAGCCGTAGCTAGCCGTAGCTAGCCGTAGCTAGCGTCGCGCAAAGGTTTCGGCCTGTAAATATATCGCTTTTGCGTTCTTCGATTCGCAGTACGACGCCACGGTATCGGGTGGATACGGAGGTGGCGGTGAGTACGAGGTCCAACTAGGTTTCGGTTGGTCCAACGGGCTCGTCATGGACTTGCTGGACAAGTACGGCGACAGGTTAACCGCGGAGGATCATTTCGTGCTCGACGACGTGATGGAGAATTCTGCCCCGCAGCAGGTGGTCGTCTCCACCGCCGGACAAGTGATGACCGGTATTCTCGCCCTCGTGATAACGTTGGCCGCGGGATTCATCGGGTGAGGTGAGTAGCGGCTACCTTCCCGCCTCTTCCACTCGTCTTCCAACTCTCCTCGTCTTACTCACTGTGAACCGTACGTAATTCGTTTCTTCTCTTTCTTTTGTGTTTCAGATATCCTTGCATACGCGGTCCGTCGCATCTATTCGTCTATGAAAATCGATCCATATTAAGGGAGAATCTTTGCGAGAGAACGAACCGTCACGGTGGTGTATAGTATTAATCGAACGCGAACGCGTGCAAGCCAATGTCGAAATTCCTTGCCTTTTATTTTTCCTAAAGTCTCGTTTTTCTCTTGACCGCGTTCAGAGGAAATAGCGGCGGAAACAGCCGGAGACACGGCTGTTGGCAAACGGTCGTTCGCGTGGTATAGGTAGTAACGTTTTCACCGCGTTGCTGTGGTAATTTTAGCGATAATTTTAGCCGTAATTTTCGAGTCGAACGTCGCTTCGAACGCGTGTAACCGATTAAAAACGATAGGGCACGATTAACGGCAGAGACAATTTCGTTCGAGCGTCGTTGACTCTTTCGCCATTCCATCGCGCATGTGCATCGTGACGCGCGGGTAATATTCTGTGATTTTCGTAAGCGCTTCTTCGCTGGACGAGGACGCGCTTCGTATAGGATACCGATCTACGGTTTGGTTCGGTTCGGTTCGGTTTGCTTCGGTTCGGTGTTACCTCGCGGATGCGACCGTGTGTGTGTGTGTGTGTGCGCGCGCGCGTGTGTGTGTGTGTGCACGCGTATCGGTACGCGATACCGTCGCGTACACACATAGACGATCGTATCGGGAAACGGAAGCGTACCTGTGTAATAAACGCGAAACATTTCGTCTCGCTACTCATATAGTATTATTCTCGTATAAGCGGTATACGAAAACTCCGTGGATAGAAGAAACCGCGATTCCCTTCGAAGCGTATCCAGTCGTATCGTATCGCGTGTATCGATTGCCAAAGGTCTTCGAGAGACGCAGGCCGCGCGCGAATTTGTCTCTTACCGGACAACAACGGGGTCCAAAGTTAGAGAAGGGTAAAACGCGGATCTTGCCTAGTCAATACGATACGAGTAATCGACCACCGTGTATTGCATCGCGCGCGTGTAATTTCTACCAAAGAGGAGTATACCAAATCCGACGAACCGCCAACCACCTCGCGCTGCTCCTCCAATCGCGTTACGCCTTTATTTCCCTATCATACGTATTTTCGCGATCGATCTTCTTTTTTTCTTTTCCTCTTTTCCTCTTTTTGCCAATTAATCGCTGCAACTATACCGTTAGTACTAGATCTAGGGAACATCGAACGCGGTACATGTATAGTATTACTTTGCCAACGAGCTAGCATGTAAGTTTTTAAGCTTTTAAGCGTCGACACGTTGCATTTGCAATACGCGAGGGATTTTTTTTCTTTTTTAACCGTTTATCGTTATATTTATGCAGCCGATTAGTAGCCGCGTGGGCGGAGTGAAGCGTTCGCGCTCGTATCAAGCGTATCGACGCCTGTCGCGCGATAGAAGGCGGCGGTAGGTAGTCGTCGCGAATCGTTGAAGGAAAGGGCGTGAAACGTAACGCGCGTTCCACTCGTCGTTCTTCGGCTTGGCGGATCGTTGATCGATCGATCGATAGAATTGGGGTTGGGGAGGGGGGAAGGTGTAGAAGAATAGGGATGAGGACGAAACAAGACGGAACGAGACGAGACAGAGAGGTATGAGAAATGTCACCGTAAAGGAAAGGTAAACGGTACCGTCCTCGGCAGTTTTCTATCTACAACGATGTCCACGTGCCTTCCTTTACTTACGTTTGCCTGCCTGTGTGGTGACTTTTAAATAAAGTATATAATTCAGAAAATCAATCAGACCTCTTCCCAAAATACCTTTCCGATCGCTAGTGATCACCCGCCCCCCCCCCC